AAACTCAATAGTTTTTGAAATATTTTGACTTTTTCAAAATTTTTGAAAAAAACATACCTACACTTAATCGGTTCTATCTCCTTCAATTTTTAAGATAGGAAGCTGAAATTTTAGATGGTCAATACCAAAACGTGTCCAAATATCTGGAATATTCGAAAGTTGGTGCATGTTACACAGGGCGTCTAAAAAACTCGGACCAATTGTGTCAAATTGAAAGTTTAATAACTCGCTTATTTTAAATAGAATACCCTGTGTTTTATAATTCCAGTAGATGCACCTGTTAATTCTCTTTCCATTGGTATAAGCATTCCCTATACCTAAATCCCACCGATTTTGAGATATTTGAACATAAATACAGAGACGAATATAATCCGACAGTTAGCTGTAGGTTGGCTGTGGAAAAACATTTAAATGTCACCAAGTGTCATTAAAGTGTTTTCAGTAACAATGGCACACTCTGGACATCGTCAGGTTGCAAATGGTGTATTAACATAAATGAAAATGGCTTCCATTTATGCTTCTTCACTATTCTGTGAATAGTTCCTATTGATAGACGTGAATTTATTATGCATCTCTAATTGACGCCTGTGGATAAGCGGTGAAAAATGCCAATACATTTACATCATTTTCTTCGTTGTCCACTGATGTCTTACTTTTATCATGTTTCGGGAGAAACTTTCCATTCTCAGAACAATGTTCTACTAACAATTCTATTACACTCCCCGTAAATGATAATTAAATTTAAAAAGTCGTCGTCTGTGTACCCAGAGTGTGCCATTGTTATTGAAAACACTTGGAAAATCGACAAACTCGCTTTACAGCAATGACAGCAAATCTGCTAAACAGGCCCGGTCTGGCTCTTTCAGGGGCCGTCGGGAAAAATCAAAATCGGGGCCTATTTGGTTTTGTCTGTTATTAGGGTGCATATCGACTCTCCCAAGGAAAACTGTTGTATCTCAAATTTGGTTATACTGAAATAATTGCATTTGAATAGTTAAGAAAATAATAATGTTCGTTATTTTTTTTATTACAAGAGCTAAATCGTTCTTCTTTAACAAAGTAATTATTATTTAGGTTTTAATTAATTATTGATGTCTAAATAAAATAATTTAGGATAAGAAAAAATGGATTTTGAATGAATTACTACAGTTTTCGTCAACAAAATTTTTATTGAGAAACAACTTGGTACACAAATTAGGTACAGAAAAATTTCTATTTTTAGATAAAAAAATTATTGTTAATAGTCAATAATGTTATAAAAGGAAAATTTATTACGATTGACAGTCAGAGTCATCTTCTTGGTCAATATTACTTTCTTCCTTGTGGTCAGTCTTACTAGCAGGCCGAAGGGAGTTGTAAAATCCATGATACATCGGTGGTATCAAATTAGCCTTACACAGACCTAAAAGACCGCTTAATTTTTTACCATCAATTGGCAGCAAACCTTGATACAATCTTGGAAATTGATATTCTTCGCGTTTGCGTGTGTTTTTTGTTTGTAAGTCTAGTTCTTTACGATTTTCTCCAAAATTATACACAAAAAATACTTTATTGGGAGACTTTGGATCGCAGTGGTTTTCTCTGATTTTGCTGATTTTTACAGCCTCTCCAGTAATATCTTTTTTCCAGTTTTGTTTCTTTACCATTGGTTTAAAAGTTACAAAATCTTCTTGAGACATTTCTTTTACTTCATACTGTGGGGCAGTAACTTTGGCCATTTTTTTTAAACTAATCCACTGGTCAGGACTATCAGGAGTGTATATAGCAAAGTGACGTTTTTTTGCAACTTCAATCACAGCATGCATGCTGTCATTTTCATTCTGCGTATGGCCAATTTCAAAAAAACTGTGTGTTATTTCCAAATCCAAAGTCATTGATGTATAAGCATCATACATAGCAATAGCCTTGATTGCTGCCTAAATCATAAATTGTAAAGTTGTATGTTGCGATTTTACTTTTATAATAAAAATCGCTGACTTCTGACTTGAGTGTTACTAACACCTTCTGCAAATCAAAGCAAGCTGTTATTAGAGATTTATCAATTTTCGACAATTCTTTATCAATTTCTTTCAGATTTGGAACCGCGATTTTGTTTAAATTATGATTAATATAATCATCTTCCATTTTTTCTGTTCTCTTGGGATCTGTATTCTTATAGGCACTACACACGGAACACTGATCTTTTTTGGCTAAAAAAAAGCTATATTAAATTTCGAATTAAGAGTATCTTTGTATTATCTGAGTGTAGCTACTGCATCCCATTTTTGTTGTTTTGCATATTCTAAATACATTCTGTGCATTCGTGAAATACTCAAACCTTCTTCCAAGTACATTCGTTTTGAGTTTTTTCTTGTATAATGAAAAGGCATAAGTGGAAAATGTTTTATGTGTTCCATAATGTTTTTTATTAGATCATCCGGGTTCTTATGCGGTCTAGTGTTGTGTTTTCCTCTTCTGCCCCGTTCTACAGTACCACCTTCACACATTTTTTGCAATGCGGCGATTACAACTGTTTCAGAAATTGCAAACGTATTTAAGAACATCGTTTTGCAAATTTGTTTCTCATTATTGTCAATGACAAACTTATAATTGCGAGATAAATTCCTTTTGGAATATTTATTATGTACAGTAACCTGCTCCTTTTCTCGCTGTCAAAATATTTCAAAAACTATCGAGTTTAAGGATAAAGTAAGGTTATGAAACTTACCTTAAAATTCGATGTAGAATCCAAAAATTAAATAAAAAATAGTACATTCCATTTGAAATAAGCGAGTTGACGTCTACTTCCGGTAGAACCGGAAGTTCCACGACAACGCCAATATTTTTAATCGATATAACATTAGGAGAAACCCCCATACATAAATTTTCAGAATTCCAGTACGTGTAGTTTTCCAGAAACGTCTAATTGAAGGTCTATCTGGAACACCCTGTATATATCGATACAGCATATTTTATAAAGGGTTCTTTATGTGGATCTGTTTTTTTTTTTTTCATTAGCTTTGCTGATTTCTTTGTCTGTGTTGCTGTCTGGGCATTTATAGACCAAGTTATCCAGAAACATTTTTTATAATCTAATTTGACGATTTTGTTTATTTAATTTTTAATCTTGACATAAAAATAGTTTTAAAATCTGTTTTACAATAAATTAGCCAATTTGCTGACCGAATTTAAGGATATCAACTTTTAGAAATCTGTTATACATAAATTTTGTCAGACTAACGTATCTGCATAAACACGTATCAAAGTTGTAGGATTATGAATGGTACTATTGCATTCACATTAAAAGTTACTAAAAATTCATCAGAATTGGCCAGTAAATTAGAACCAATTCTGTTGCTTCTAATTTATGTTCTAATATAACTTATATTACACATATTTTGCAAAATGGGTATGAACAAAATTTGGAATTTTGGTTTACCCCTTGTTAGTAACTTTCTGGTAAATTTATTTTACATAAAAAATAATCGATTTTATAGAACTGTATTAAAAATAATTTTGGAATATTAAATTTGAATATAAATTTTATATTTTATTAGAATGATTTAGATACATTTTATACTAAATTAATATTTTAAAAATAAATTTCTAAAATAAATAAAATATTTTGCCCAATTTTGCTTTTTCTAAAATGTACACACTTGACATTCTGGCATCTGCCATTTAAATACACAAAGCATTTGAAAATTTACATTTTCCAGTTTCATAGCATCATCTGTTGCTTTCTTTGGTAGGTACCTCAGATGTTAAAAGCTTGACACTGATTTTATCAACTAATATATCAGATTATTCATTACTAATTTTATAGTAATTGTTTCTATGGCGACTATCTATGTGATGTTTTTATTTTCTCTTAATCTGTGCTAAACAAAGTAATTCGCCAAAAATCCTGTAGTGTGCTGCCACAGACGAAGATTCACTGAAACAGGGCAATGGAATAGACTAGAAATAGCACAGCAGACTGCTTTGCTTTTCATAATAGATAACATAAATAATAGGTAAACCACAATAATAAGTCATTTTTATTTGAAGTTCTGGGTCCAATCAACGCATCTGCCAGACTACGGATGAATCAAAAACCGGAAAGTGACAGCCCAGAATATTCCATCCCTAAAATCCAGCTAAACCTGGATATGGGAAAACTATTCATTGGAATAAGCAAATTCCAGTACCGTGATATAATTGCGTTGACCGATTCTTTGGGCTGGATGAACAGGGGTGTCCCTTACCGCAAATACAGACCTAACCTTTCGGAATATAGGGGGCACTATAAGGAATGGTGGCATTTTGCTTATAAGTGTGTCTTAGAGGAAGAGGTTAGACGAAGGAGAAGAAATTGGAACTGGGAGAACATTCTCGGCTATCGGAATAAGTGCCGTCAGTACAGCGGCTTGTATAAGAAACAACTGAAGAAAGCGGTAGGTGTAATTTTGACAGCTTATCTTGTAAGATTTTCTTTGTATAGTATAACCTTTTAATAATGGACACTCAGTGAGAATCCTAAAATGTGCGGTATACAGAATGTCCCATAATTAGTGTGCAATACTTTAGCAGTAGATTCTAAGATCAAAAATAAGATTATTTTTTCCTATAAGCATTGATCGAAAAATGCTTCCTAAGGGAGCTACGCATTTAGCATGTCAGTATTTTCAAATTTAGACATCAAGCTATGATAGATATGAGCTTTCCACAAAAAAAATGTACTCTTGATTTACTTCGTTAAAATGCTTTGTTTGAGAAAAATCGATTATTAAAACGTGTATTAAAGCTAATCCAAAGCTCTCATTTTAGGTTTCAATTAATTGAACCTCTTGCAATTCCAAGTCGGCTAAACAGTGAAGCTTATTTAAATTTTTTACAAAATGAATTTTTTTATTTATTCGAAGATGTACCTCCCAATATTAGAGGAAACATGTACTTTCAGAACGATGGAGCTCCAGCTCATAATTGTAAGAATGTGAAAAACTGGTTGAACGAATATTTTCCAGAAAGGTGGATTGGACCAAGATGTCCCGTTACTTGGCCACCTCGTTCACCTGACCTTAATCCTCAAGATTATTACTTATGGGGACATTTAAATAGTATCGTTTATAACACTGAAATAGATACTAGAGAAGAATTATTAGAAAAAATAAATGTGGCCTCTAATACGCTAAGGAACAATGAATTTGAAATTCTTTGTGCTTCTCATGGAATAAGGCGTAGAGCTGCATTTATTTTGAGCAATTATTGTAACGTGTTTTTTAATTTTTAGTAATTTCTTTATTATCTGATTTATTACAAAACTTCAGTTGACTACTGTGCATGTTAGGTTTGTTTCTTTTTGTAAATTACTGATAGTTTGCTAACTATTTTTACTACGAATGCGTGAATGCCAACAGTCAGTGTGATTTGAATGATGCAAGAACGGTTTCTAAATTTGTAGTTTGAAATGAAGATATAACGAGATATAATGAGATATAACTTCTAAATCTAAATAGATATTTTTCTAAAATGAAGCATTTTATCAAAGCAAATCTAGTCCATTTTTTTTGTAAAAAACCAATTTCTATCATAGTTTGGTCTTTACATTTGAAAATATTAGAATTATCATCAAATTGATTTAAGGTATTTTCAAAATTATTTGGTGGTCTTTCTTGACCAGGCAGTTTTCTAAAAGATCCATTTTCCGTTAATAGGCCCATTAAGTAAAAAATTTTTATTGCATATTTCAAAAGTTTACCCTTTAATTAGTTAGTATGCCAAAAATCAATTTTTTGTTTCAACGAGAAATGTGTGAAATAAATTAATGAAAACAGAGCGCCGAAAAACGTTGAGCAACCATTGCCTGACGTCATAATACCGGTACGAGCGACTGGCAGAACACTCCGCTCGCTCTCATCCCATTCTGTGTTAATACATACGGTGTGTGGTTCGCTTGGCAGTTTCGTTAATCATTGTTTTTATGTCTAAATGGGTCGAAACCGAGGATTGTGCAAATATTGAATAGTTCCAGGCTGCAAAAGTACCTCAGGATCGACTCTGAATAAAATATTTATTTCATTACTGAAAAATGAAAAGTTTGTGTTTCCCGGTTTCCCCAGCCACAGTATGCAACTCAATACCACCTCCGTTTTTCTTTGGTTGCACGTCTAGGGGGTTGTAAAATATTATTATTTGAACATTTAGAGCACAATTTTCAACTTTATGCCGGAAAAAAAATTCTACCCTATCTAAATGTTCGTGTTCACAAAAAATTGGAAATACGTCGGCAAGAGGGACCTATAAGCAACTAAGAACCATTCTCGTTTTTCTTTGGTTGCCCGTCTAGGGTTTTGTAAATATTATTATTTCAACATTTAGAGCAGAATTTTAAAATTTATACAGAAAAAATAAATCCACCTAAACGTACCCGTTCACAAAAATTTCGAAATACGTCGGCGAGAGGGACCTATAAGCAACTCAGAACAACCCTCGTTTTTCTTTGGTTGCCTGTCTAAGGGGTTATAAATATTATTATTTAAACATTTAGAGCAGAATTTTCAAATTTATGTCGAAAAAAAATTCTACCCCATCTAAACGTTCCCGTAAATGTATTTAGATATTCCAAGACATTCTATGTTTATAATAAGTAAATATGTTGTGTGAAAAATGAATTTCAACAAGACCTTATATATGTACCTGTATATCTCTTATACACTCTCTATTTATACACTTAAAAATATAGATATTGATAATATAGGTAAAAGTATAGCAAATATCTACACATCTCTCCGACTGCTCGCGACTTGATCGCCGAGTGGCCGGTATCGTGACGTCATTAGCTGTTCACTCGCAGTGTTGACCTTTTTAAGGGTCTTACAAATTCAGAATTAAATATATCACTTATTATTAATCCTATTGACCTAATTTTTTTAAGATATATTTAGGTGGTTAAATACTATCAGAAAATGAAAGAAAAAGTTTAAAATTATATATCACTGAATGGGCCTATTGTCTATGAACCGTAAAAAGTATTCTACATCCAGGTTGCCTTCGATTTGAGTTAAGTATCTCTGTTGGTGTTCTCTTGGTGCCACTAGTGCTCTCCCATTACAAAGTCCATGCACAAAATTAATGTCTATTAAAATTATTATTAAAATTCTGCATTTTTTCTTTAGATTTTACTTAATATCCAATACAGCACCGTAAAGTGAAAGCAAAAATTTAAGTTTAATAATCTGTCAAATTAATTCAAGTAAACAAACGTTTGTTTTCATGGCCTACCTACCTATTCATGTAATCCTCTTCCATTCTTGAGATTATGTAATAAACTTAAAAATCAATTTTTCTCAAAAACGAAGCATTTTATCGAAGTAAATCAAGAGTACATTTTTTTTGTGAAAAACATATCTATCATAGTTTGATGTTTAAATTTGAAAATATTGAGATGCAAAATATTGTGTGCGCCTGTTATCTGTGGGCCCCCCTGCCTGACTAAAATTTTTAAACAGTTTTCATGTAGTTCGTTAGAACATTCATTGAATGTCCAACGTACCAAAATTCATAATGATAGGTTAACTGATTTTAGAAATATTTTGAATAATATGATCTACTGAGGCCCCTCTCAGGGTGGCGTAGCTCTCTTAGGAAGCATTTTTCGACCCTTGTTTATAGGAAAAATTAATCTTATTTTTGATTGTAGAATCTACTGCTAAAGTATTGCCCTCTAATTATGGGACACCCTGTATATATCTGTTAAAAAAGACTAAAATTCACCCCAAATTATACACAACAACCACTTTGACAATTTACTAATAATTCATTAGTACAGAATTGTCGTTCTAATCAATATCTGTCGATTACTGCTCGGCGATCCTATCCGCGGCGAGGCTGCGCATCGAGTTCGACCAAGATCTCGTGTCACCATGATTTAGAAAGTAGGGGTTGTCTATCAACCCTGTTCTGATTTGCTAACATATCTGTTATGCAGAAATGGAGGTAAAAGATAATGAAAAAAGGGCAGACTTCATTTTATTTAATATATTAATATTGAAATAAAGCATATTACATAATTATTATCAAAATGAATTCAATAAATGGCTTAAACTAATTATCTAATTAAAAATATTTATGTATGTATGTCCACGGAAGAAAAACAGTAAATCATATTAAGCTTTGTGGTGGTTCGGTAGTGCAGTGACTTAAATGGGTATGCGCGCTCCAGTGCTAGTAGGCGGGCGAGGGGTAGACCGGCGTACCGGGTAGTGGACAGGGAGAGCGAAGCAGCGAAGAGCAGTAGCAGTCTCCACTTGGCAATCGAAGTGGGTAGACGCACCGCTAGAGAATAGCTTATTTACGTGTTTATTTGTTAGATATGGTATCGTTTAACAATAACTAAACTAGCTTTGTTATTATTTATCAACAGCATTGTTATTTATATTATGTTATATATATTTTTATGTTTATATATTTATGTGTGCATAAATAAGTTGTTTCCAATCTTAGAGTTTCTCTACACAAGAAACCTCAAAAAGAATCATGAACTGAACCCTGAGATTAGTGGCCGAGTCTCTAGCAGGAATAATCATATTATTCAGTAGTTAACAGGAGACCACCTCAGCTTTGACAGTAATCTCCTTAGAAACTTATAAGGCATTTGAGAATACAGACATGTATAATCTACGAAAGATCTACAGCTTATTTGAAATAATTTTTAGTTGTCATTTGTTTTGTTTTTTTTATTTTGTTAAATATTTCTGATTCACATTCACAAGTAAAGCTTGAGAAATATTTTTAGCGGTGTTAAAATCCTTGAAATAATATTTACTAGTTGCTCATCTTCAATTTCAGTTTCGATTTGATCACTGATTTCATCAATACAATAAATAGAGACATTTGAATTTTTCAGTTATTAAATCGTCAACAATCATTCAATATGTCCTTAAATTTAATATCATCTACCTGTATATCACATTCACTTGTATCACTGTCAGATTGATTCTACATTTTAGGAAACAGTTTTTTAACATTACAGGTGGTAATTTTTGTCCAAGCCACTGGAATCCATATTAATACGTTGACTACTGTAGTGTTTTTTTCCCCCTTCTGTCGACTCTTTTGTGATTTGTTAATACATAAAGTCTTTTAACACACATGTTTGTTTTTGAAATGACTTTAAAGTTTAAAGGGCCCCACAGACTTAGTTCCATTCGTGTGAACTAAGAAAGGCAAGGTATCTAACCGAACCAGATTTTGATCTTTTTTGATTGATTTTTTCTCCACACACTACATGCCTGGTACGTTTGTGCAGATTCCTGCAACCCAATTTGTGCGAATTGAATGATGTTTGTGGGGCCCTTAATGATGCAAGGTAGTATTTAGAGGAAGGAAAATCAGTTTCCCATTTTCGAACGAAATATTTAGAGAAGTTTATTTAGAAATAAGACTACATTTCTCTTTCCTCTCTTCATCAGGATATCAAAGTTTTTTAATCATGGTGATTTAATATCTAAAGTCATCCATGCTTGAAGTTTCAATCTATTTTAATTTATCCACATCTGTTTTAAACAGGTGTGGATCCACAGGGGTGACGATGAGGGCGATTACTCCCGCCATATGGTCCGAAAAAAATTTTAAAATGATTAATTGTCACTGAATAAGTGCTATGGAGATGTAAGATGGAGGAAGAACCTAATATTGGCCCACAAGTGCTTTCGAATTGTTAAATTCATGTGATGAAATTTGTTTTCTGCATATTTATTTCCTTCTCAAAGTACTGGCAACACTACCACTCTCTGTAAAATGGCGAAAGAACATTTTCTTGTCTCCAGAGACTGAAATCTTGGCTGAGATCTACATTGGTGTAGGATCAGTTAATGGGCCTAGCTTTGATGAGCATGTACCATCAATGTTTCTGTTTCTTCACTCGTTTTTTTTTTTGGGATAAAAAATGTAGAAACCGTCTCTGGATCCGCCCCTGGCTTTAAATCATATGGGCGTTTTACTTTTACCAACATCTAACAGTTTTTCCTTATCTCCTTCCATGTTTCAATCCTATCATTTCTTAACACAAATGTTTTTGTATGTTGTATACGAAAAAATGCCTCTTTTATCTACATTAAAAATATCTTTTGAAGACTACAAACTGAGGCAAAATATATAATGGGATGTTGAATAAGTTCTCCCTGTTTTTTATGTATTTAAGAAAATTAATAAAAAACATGTCACTGAAAGTATTGTCCATCGCTAGCCACTACTTTTTCCCATCTTCCCATTTTTTGGCATCTTCATAAGAATGGAAGTGCTGCTGAGCCAGACTATGTGCCATCGATCGGAACAAGTGATAATCGGAAGGGGCAATGTCTGGTCAAAATGGCGGGTATGTAGGACTTCCCATTTAAGCGTTTTCAAGTAGGTTTCCACTGGTATTGCAACATGTGGCTGAATGTTGTCATCCTGCAAAATCACCTTTCCAGTGTGTTCTTTATCTTCAATATCAACATCATCATTTTTAAAGCGTCTAAGTCAATCTCTGCGTGTTGTTTGCAACAGCTTGGTCGCCGTAAGTTCCAACCAGAATTCTGTGCGCTTTCTGCAGATTTCTTTTGAATAAAGTAGTGCAGTTCTCCACAAATATTCCTTTTTTGGCATGAATCTCGACATGTTTTAACACTAGAAAAAAAATAGTTTACATGTCAGCGAAATAACATACACTGAATATCAAGCTTGCTTACAGTACTTACATGACTACACATCCGCCATATCTAATTCTCTTAATGTAGCTAATTTTGCATTGGTTATGTATTGCCATGAAATAAAATTTATTTTATGTGTATACCTGGTTGGTCGAGAAAAACAAGTGTACTGCTGGTTTGACTGAATAAAACGAACAGTAATAGATATATACACTAACCCGATGCCGTCTTGCCTGTCCATTACTAACAGTAATTTTACATAATATTTTCATGTCTTGAAAAATATAGTGTCCGCTTCCATTTCATATAAGAGTGCATATTAAGAGAACCGCTTTGTAAAATCCTGTGAGAACTAAATTGTCCATTATGTAAAGGTATGCGCTATTCAGAGGTGTTCGTAAATATAAAAGTATTCCCTCTTTAGATTAAAGGAGATGAGAAGCAAGAAATAGAAAATTGCGAAAAAATTTTAGATGTAACCAGCATCGTTATAATACGACAGCAGATCGAAATCGAGTTACAGCGTTTGCAACAGATTGAAGCCAAACAGGATAAGGGTTGGTTCGGATGGATTTGGAAAGGATCGTCCAGTCAACAGGATGAGGATAGCACCAGTGCTGTTTTGCGTAAGTTATTTTTTTTTTTCATATTATCGTTTTATTAGACCAGATGTCGGTGCTTGTGAACTTATTGTTTAATTTCTGAGGCTTTTCCAAAGTTCGAATGTTTCCTGTGGTATTTTCAAGTGTCTCGAAGAAATATTAAAGTGAAAAATTAAAACCCTGTATTTCTGCAGTTCGTAGACATACAGCTCGTAACAGAATCGTATTCAATTTATTGTTCATAACTAATATTGATAATCACTTTTTGAAGTTTAAATACAAAATTTGCTCTTCCACTTAACTTATTTTCATGAGGGATGGAGACCTTATATATTTTCCCAACGGGTACAATGGCTCTAAACAAATGTAATATGAGGCATATCCACGAAGTAAGAGTACTCGATTTTTTTAAAAATGGAAAGGGAGTATATTTACGAAGAACTTATATCAAATACTATTTTTCGAAGTAGTCGCCTTCAACCTCAATGCACTTTGTCAAAAAAATCTCCCGCCGCCTCTCGGGTTCATTGTTTAACGGCACTGTTGGTGGACCTCATTGTCGGTAGAAAACCTTTTTCCACCCATAAACACCTTTAGAGAAGTAAAAAGATGAGAATTAGAAAGCGCCACATCAGGGCTATGAGCGTCCAATGGAATGAATCCAAAAGTTGTGACGTTGGCTGTGTGATAATGTCATGTAACAAGCACACTCCTTTCATTAACATTCCCCTTTTGTTCGGTATCACTTTCAATAGTGTTTCCAAGGTTTCACAGTACCGTGCAGCATTAATTGTTTGACCCCCAAGGCAAAAAAAAGTCAATGAGGAGAATCCCACAGTTTTTTCTATTTTGTTCATCATGAACATTCGTTCTGGCAGCTTTACACTCAGGACACTTGTACACATTAGTACGATTTATCACAATCACACAATTCCCATAAATAGTTTTAATTTGGTTAAAAATCTGGAACGGCATTTTTCTCTTTGCAAGAGCAGCACTCATTTCAACATGCCACTACAACAGTTCTCAACTGACTGAGACAAATGAGCATGCTTTCTGCTCCCAACACCTTGGCCTTAAATACAGTGTTGCAACTTTTTTGAAAACAAAAACCACAGAGTATCAGAGTCTCAGTATTCTTAATTTGTGGATATGCCTCATACATCAAAGATTGAGGCAAGAACTCTATCTATCTACTGAGTAATAGCGTAGCAACTAATAGTGTTTAGAAATGCTATTTTCTTTGAAGGGAAATTTTGTAAATTTATTGTAGACATTAATTAAAAAAACATACAACAAATAAAAAACCATAAACTGGTTGACTAATAAATGTAAACAGCATTTCTGGGATATTTTATTTAGCAGTTGCAAGGAAGTCACAAAAGGTAATTTGCATATCTGCTGTTTTTGTAACAGATGTTCGAAATTTTGCAGCGGATCTAATTTTAACGTGTTAGTGAATTTATGTAAGTTTTAAAAAACTAATAAATTGCGCTACACTAACTAATTAACTAAATAATTTGAAAAAATGACCCAAAACTGGAAAGAACGGTACTAAAGTATCGTACATTGTGCCAATTTAATTAAAGTTTACTACAAAACAATTTAAACAAATAATTTATCTTATTCAAAATATGGCAGGTACATTACTGAGCACTAGACAGCATTCTATTATAAAAACAAATAACAAAAACTCCAGCACAGATTTTTGTGAATAAACAACCTGAGGTGCATTCTCCAGTTTGGGTGCTGTATACACTCCAATTGTTTTGGAATAAATTCTGGTTGTTGTTTAAGTACACATGAAGATTACATCTTTCTGTGGTTTGTGCAGTCATACAAAATGCATGGACTATTGTTATGAACGTCTAGTAAACAACTGAAATGTAAATTAAGAGTGAACTAAGTACGACTCTGTTACAACTCCTGTTATAGTGGCAGTTTCTATAATGGACAGCTGTCAAGACATTTTCAGGAAATTATCTTCTGCTTTTCCCTTCCGTTCTCGAATTTTATTGTGCCTTATTCAATTGAGGGAAAATTGTATATGACTATTTTACAAATCTTTGTGTTTTTATTCATCCTAATTTTTTATGATTACTTCTTCAGAACTAACGGTAATATTAGTATTGTCTTCTTTATTTTTCTATATTTTTTCATGAGATTTGCCGTTTCCTAAAGAAAATCGTCACCGTCGCCCCCCTAATAATGTTCCCAAGTATTACTTGGGGATATCTAGAGTTCCTTATACAATTGACTAAAATCTTAAGTACTAGATACGACACCCTTCAGGACTGTATTATAAAATTCCATGCCTTAGTAACTCATACCTATCCTAGGTACTGCAAAGAAACAATCTTGGTATGATTGGTGGTATGGCATTACCCCTAATATTCCCGAAAATGAAATACCAGAACCAAAGAAAATAAGTAAGTATACAACAAACCAGAATAATCAACATTAATGGTTAATTAGTTTGAACCCTATTAATTACAGCCACTAATTATTAAATTCTTCGAAAATAGCTTTTCACCATATAAGTTTCTACTTTATTTTTTTTTACTTTATCACTTTTGATCGTAAATAATTTATTTTTCCCAAATGCACTACTGTCCATGCACCCAATATATAGGATGTAACACATTGGCATGACAAAAATGAAAAAGCTTTTTCCTCTCCTAAATTTAAGAATATTTACTTGGAAAAAATATGATATTATACAGTAGAACCTCAATCAACTATGTGTGGATTGTCTAGTGCACAGATTATCCGGGATGTGGATCTACTATCCCTACGAATCTACTTGTTCTAATGTTTAAAAAAAAATTATCACCTTATATAAAAACTATGACATTGTTTGACTGTCGGAAGTCTCTAAAGTTGACATTTTCCTTACTGAAAAAAAAAATGGTATCTTAGCAACAAAAGTATTCACTTTTAATCCTAGGAGCTAAATTTATTTATTTATTTATTTATACTGCATACATACAGACAAAGGGACAGTCCAGTTACATGTATACAGTTGAGAAATGTTAGCTAATATTAAAAACCAGTTAAAAATAATGTATAAACAACCAGACACATGCAAAATACAATGTAAAAAGAGAACAAAGAAAGGAAACAAAAAAATGTCAGTTAAAATGTACATAAAACACCCAATCGTATAAGTATCATAAGTATGACAGTAGCTTAATCCGACTTATTTTAAAAATATCAATGTCATATATTCTTAACAAATTATTCACCGTAAACAGACACTGTTCTAGGGGTGAATTAATATTAAATATTTTAAAATGTCTATATCTAGTTCGCATTCTCATATCGGGTACAATAATATTAATAGACGCCAACAAATCGGGGACAACAATATTACTATGTAAAATATTATAAGCGAACAAAATCTGAGCCTTTTCTCTTCTCCTATCCAAAGAGGTCACGCCAAACTCTGCTCGTTGATGTTCATATGATACCATGAAGGGGTACACTCCATACTCTTTAACATATATTGACCTCAAAAGCTTCTTCTGTATTTTCTCTATTGTGTCCTTGTTACTGGTAGCTTGTGGGTTCCAAATCACACTGCAATACTCCAGTTTTGATCTTACAAATGTATTGAATAGCCTTATAACTGTGTTAGATTTAAACTCTTGGCTAGTGCTAAGAACAAAACCGAGCTTCCTGTAACATTCAGCTGTTAAACTTGTAATATGCTCATTAAATGTAAAATTTTTGCTAAAAATTACACCTTTGTCCCTGATTCTATTTAGAGGCTCTATCTCAACACCATTCACCATATATTCTCCCAATATAGGGTATTTCTTCTGTGTATATGATACCAGTTTACATTTTGCATCATTTAAAGCTAGGTCGTTATCTTTACAAAACTCAGAAACAGCTATGACATCACTTTGCAATTTTGCAACATCATCCCAACATGTTATGTTAAGGTACATCTTCAAGTCATCTGCATAGAGTAAAAACTTTGCATGCTTTATATAATCAGAGATGTCATTTATAAATAAGATAAAAAGCAGTGGTCCCAATATGGACCCTTGAGGCACACCGGAAGTTGACACAAAAGTTTCAGATTCTGCACTGTTAAATTTCACAAAGTTTATACGATCAGTCAGATAAGTTCTAATAAACTGTATCAAATCTACGCTAAAAGAATAAGAGTTCAATTTCCATAATAGTATGTTATGGTTGACTCTGTCAAAGGCCTTCGCCAAGTCAGTATAAACAGTATCAATCTGGAAATTATATAAATTTTTTGTAATGTTGGCACTGAACGTACATAAATTAATAGCGGTAGATCTTTTCTTTAAAAAGCCATGTTGTTCTTCTAACAATATTTGTGTGTGTTTGTAATCAGACTAGTGTTTCCTGATTTGTGTACAGGCGTTATTCGCCCTATCTTAAAGAAGTCTGGAAATTTTTTGGCCTTCAATGCTCTGTTGAATATAGTTTGCAATGGTAATGCAATAATGTCAGCATACGCTTTAAAAAAGTATGAAGGTAATCCATCTATACCTATTGAAGTCTGTGGTTTCAGCGATTTTATTGCATTTATTATTTCATTCAAGCTGATGGTCCCTCCCTATATTTAAATTATCCAAGTTGTAATCTTTACATATACCATTTCTTTGTAAGGGAGTATCTACAGAATACACCGACTTGAAGTACTCAGCAAATGCATTTGCAATATCCTCTGGCCTTTCAAACGAATGACCATTGTAACAGAAATTGTATGAAATGCGAGAACTGGATCTTTCATTTCTTATATAATTCCAGAAGTTTTTTGGGTCAATGTTTATATTATTTTCTATATTTAAAATAAAATCTCTTCGACATTTTTTAATTAGACGCTTCACCTCCTCTCGTAGGTCACAAAACTTTCTCGCAGATTCTATACACTTTTTGGATTTTTTAAACAAGCGATGTTTCAGCTTTATTTTATTTATGAGTTCCACTGTAAACCACTTAGGATAATTGTTGACTTTATAAGATTTTTTGTAAGGAACACA